AATTATTATTATAATAATGATAATAATAATAACAATAAAATTAATAATGATAACACTAACTATGATACATACTATTATCAGTAGGCCTTCTACTAATACTAATATTACCACCTTTTTCATTAACAGAGTCATTGCCTCTCTCCCAACCCATAACTTCCACTTATTCTCCCGGTCTCACCTCACCCATGATTTTTGTTCTATCCCCGCCTCCCCCCCCCCTCCACACACATACAACAAAAAACGTTTTCGTACATAGTTACTCATCTTGTGCTGAAAAACGGGTCCCTGTTATGTGCACTTTCTGATCAGCACTCTTGGCCAATTGTTGAAACTGAGGGCTCCGACAACCGTTTATTAATGCATGTGGGTCTATTTCGACCCAGTAGTACACTCAGTATAATAAAGTAAAGATAGACAAGGTGTCTTTTTGGTTGATTTTGGATGATGAGCGCTCTTGTGTGAATCTGCTTCTCCATTTTACCAGTTCAGTTATTAATATAATATTTAAAAAAGTGATTTATCAATAAATTAAAGTTGAATACGCTTCCATGCGTAACACGGGTGGTGTCATTCTGCCAGGAAGAAGGTACATGTATTAATTAACTCGAACCAACTCAACAGCTTTGTTCCTTACGCCTACCCGCTTAGAGGACTATTACTGTATGCTAGAAACTGAATACCCTTTTTGACAGTTCTAGTTACAAGTTCTGAGTTACGGATGCAACTTCTAAAACTTCTAAATCTTATTTTCTTTCTAATAGGATTCATCTCTTGCAACTGCATATTAATAATATTATGGTACATCGCTTGGTCGTAACCGTTTCTTAATTGAGCTGTTATTGGGAACGAATCAGCGTTCTGCTTTCTTTGAGGTACTCACTCAGAAACCCAAACGTCCGAGGTCAAGCCTCGTGGAAAATAATGTGTTACGAAGTGGTGGAGTCTGGCATCTGTCAAATGTTGGGCATAAGTGGTATTGGTATAAATTTAAAGTTTGTTTATTTGTCTACCTTATGATAGAAAATAAAAATCCCGATCTATCTTGAATAGAAGCCAAGATATGTAATATTGAAGTAGGAGGGTTTCACCGAGGTAAAATTAGACAGAAAATGGTCGCCAAAGTTTGGTGACTTTCGAAACTTGAGTGTCTTTTGAAACTGAAAATTTACATTTTTTAGTGTCTTTGATCAACATTTTTCAATAGTATCCATAGAAATAAATGTGTATTTAAATCAATATATGTGGTGTTTAGTCCCCCCTCCACCCATCAATAAATAAAAATCGATAAAAAATTCCCAAAGGGTGTGGGAAAAACGTTGGTTTCTTCGATTTAATTATTTTGACGAGCGCCCGATTTCACCACAATGCCACAAAATTCTTTCAGCGCGTCAGAGGGAGAACATACTTGAAGAACTCTTCAGGTCTCTCCATGGAATAGCAGCTATGGCGTCCTCCTCGGGCTAAAACATTAAACAGAAACGTATAAATAGTGAAAAGAGAGCCGTGCAACCTGTGTCTTAAACGTTTTTTTTTTCTAGACGTTCTTGGAACGTGGTGAGGAGGAATACAAAAAGGACAGAGATTTTTTTCAACTCACTGGAAAAGGAATGTTCACAGAACATTGGGCTATGTAACCCATACTTACATTACACCCCTACCCTAAATAAACAACTAACAAACAACAGCTTCAACTCCACCATCAACAACAAAAACAGCAATAACGTAGCAACAAGGGCAGCAGCAGCAGCAACAACAACAACAACAACAACAACAACAACAATAACAACAACAACAACAACAACAATAACAACAACAACAACAACAATAACAACAACAACAACAACCCCATCAATTCCATTTGCTTTTGTGGAGGCTGTTCCTGATGAGATTTACAATAGCACCTGAAAAACCGGCAACAACTTCACAAATAAACAAACAATATAAAAAACACAACTTTAAAAAGCAACAATAAAACAGCGCAAAAAAAAAGACGATTGCCAATGGAAAAAAGGGAAAACATTTTTTGTTCCCGAGTTCATTTTACGTATGGGTGGTTGATGGACATTATTGTGCGGTCTGCTCCTTCTGCTTTGTTTCTTCGAGTCTAACATTCTCATGTCGTACTTCCTCGGGAAATGCAGACCAGTCACTTCCGCCGTGCTAGCTGTGAGGTATAACCATTGCTTGCCCGGCATGTTTGTCCACACGTTTGTTCTGGTCTGCGTTTTACGGCTCTCACAACTGCATAAGATAACCTTGAGTGCGCGGGACACATTAAGCATTTTTAGTTTGATAGGAATCAATTTTGAATTTTGCTCGGGTGGCGGCTGAAGCCTACTGTCACCGATTTTAGGACCACCAAGGGATCTTTAACGTGAGCAACTTGCACACAGGACCTCCGAGATTTGTTTCGCCCTTATCCGAGAACGCAAGGTGTTTGATGTTAGCCATCCTAAGATCAGGGGAGTAGCTGAAAGACAGCAGTATGAAGGAGCCAAGGAATAGCAGTAGAAAGGCAGCAAAAGAGGGCCAGAAGCCCAGAGGAGGGGGTAAATGGAAGGGGGGGGGGGCAGAAAATGAGGACGAAAGCAGACGACAGAACATGAATAAAGAGCAGGAGGTGAAAAGAGACATTTTTTTAGAAAAGAAAATTTTCTGTCGTTGTCAGTATTCGAACCCATGACCTATTGAATGAGAGGTGAACACCATTACCTCTAGACCACGAGAGCCGCTGTTAGCGCGTTTACGACTGTGCGCTTCCAATAATTACCCTGGGCCTACGTCGAGGTCGAGTCATTTCTTATTAAAGTAAGTGAAATCTATCTATCTATCTATCTATCTATCTATCTATCCATCTATCTATCCATCTATCTATCCATCTATCTATCTATCTATCTATCTATCTATCTATCTATCTATCTATCTATCTATCTGTCTAAGATCTTCTACTACTATCTTTCCATGTAATGGTCGTCTCCCAGCCTCAGTGCCCTTGTTATCCTCTTGGTATCTGGTTGGTCGCGTAGTCCTGGCTGACACAATCAACGTTATCATATCAGATAGACTATGCCGACACTGGACTATTCTGATGACAAAAGCACATTAATAATAAAAATGAAATAATAAAAAAAATATGTAAGAAATTCAAAGGTTCCACTTGGGACAAAACACCGGGTTTCCCACCTTGTGACTCTGGTGAAGACTTGGCTGAATTAATACAGTAGAACTTACTCAAATGGCATCCTGGCCTAGACTTACAAGACGGTCACTTCCCATTCCCCCATTGCGCTTTTTATATTATCATAATGACACTGTTCAAGAAGTTT